CCCCAAAACCCCAAAACCCCAAAACCCCAAAACCCCAAAACCCCAAAACCCCAATCCAATTTTCCAAAAATGAAATATGGATATTGTCCCCTACTTTTAAACTTCATCTGCAATGTACCTTACATGTAGAGGGAAGTATTAGGAACTAATGCTGATTGGTAGAATTATGCCCAGATTAATTAGAGCTACCCGTGACTGATTCTTTATCAGTGCTCTTAGGCTTTCTCACTTTTGGCTTAACGACTTCCCATCCATCATCGATTTCGCTCTGGGCTAATGATGTCTTCTCTTTGGGTTCCTAAATTGTCAATGACTTCAAACTACCTCAGTGCTCTCCACAACTTCTTCCTTTTCTGCTTGAGATTTCTTGTTCTTATTCTTCTTATTCTTGCCTTTATCACTCTTGTTTGATTGTGGCTTTGAAGGTTTTTCTTCAACATTGTCTTTTGCTTGGTTTTTCTTTCCCTTCTTACCCTTCTTTCCAGTCTTCTCTTCCTTTACCTCCTCTTTAGACTCTTCGACTTTAGACTCTTCGACTTTAGACTCTTTGTTGGCTGCTTTAGACTTCTTCTTATTCTTCTTTCCTTTCTTTGATGCAGGTTTTACAGATTCAGATTCTTCAATTTTAGCGTCCTCAGCTACAACAGTTTTAGATATTAAGATCCATAAATTTTTGAGAAAAGTGAAATATCTTACCTCTCTTTGCAGCTTCCTCTTGTTCCTTCTTGATTGAAGCCTCTTTTTCTTGAGTCTCCTTCTCCTTTTTGTTCTTTCTCCTCCTTGCAGACTTGGACATATGGGAGGAAGTTACTATCTCAGTGGCGTCCATCTTTGGATTTCTAGCTTCTTCTTCCTCTAGAAGTCTATCTGCAGTCTCTGAAGGATCGACTGCTGGCTTCTTGTCACCAGAAGTTAGTGCCATGTATCCCATAATAGCGAAGGCAGCGATACCTCCGACCAAGTAGTAAGGAAGTAAGTTTGTAGCACCTGCCTCACCAATCTGAGTACTATTGTTATCCATACTTTTTATCAATTTTATTAATTAAGGAGGGGTTTTGGGGTTTTGGGGTTTTGGGGTTTTGGGG